TTGGCCGTGCTAAATTGTCCCGTAGTGCCCAGAGATGTGCAGGTTAGTGTGGATTGGCCGTGCTAAATTGCCCACAGTGCAGAGGGATGGGCAGGTTAGGGCGGATTATGGGAAATATGGTGTTACGGTGATGAGGTGGGATGCTCTTTGGAGGGTCCATGTGGACTCGATGGGCTGAATGGCCTGCTCCCACACTGTAGGGATTCCATGATTCTATGGAAAGTTGGAACTGAGGATTTAGAAGGCTTTTGGATTGTCTTGAAATTGGTTTTGGGAATATTTGAAGACTCTTGAAATGTAGAGTTTGGTTTTGGAAATGTTTGAAGAATTTTTAAAATGTGGGTTGTCCTTATAATTGCCTGAAATCACAAGCTTTCGGAGTGTAACCCCTTTGCCAGGTGAAGTGAGAGAGAAGCACACAGAACCCAGAATTTATGGGCAGAGATAACAAGGGCAGAGAGGTCAAGAGACTATACAAAAGAAAAGGATGCCCCGAGGCCTGGTATATTAGTGAGACCATGCAGATGCTACGACAATGGATGGATGGACACCGCACAACAATCGCCAAACAGGAATGTTCCCTCCCATTCGGGGAACACTTCAGTGGTCAGGGACATTCAGCCTCCGATCTTCGGGTAAGTGTCCCCCAAAGCAGTCTTTGAGATACACAACGCAGAGTCACCGAGCAGAAACTGATAGCCAAGTTCCGTAGCCATGAAGACGGCCTCAAACCTTGATCTTGGGTTCATGTCACACTACGTGTGATCCCGCCACATTGTTCTGTATCCGTGAAATCTTCCTCGCTGTCCTCTTTTGATGCCATCACCTTGATAAATTGTTATGATCTCTCTACCTTAATTAGTTTGTACAGTTTTGGATTACTTAATCCTTTGGCTAGACCCTCGGCACGCGACTCTTAATTCTACGTTGTTATATCAGTCGTTTCGTTTGTCTCCAGCACCTCCTTATTTTCATTTTTTTTTTGTAATTATCTCTCTGCCTCATTTAATTGGATTATCGGTCACCCCTTCGCTTGTTAATCAGCTGTTGACACTTTACTCACACCTTCTGACACTTTGGATCACCTGCAGGGACTTATTATCTGACACTCCACTCAAACCATTTCTGCGATCGTTGGATCTCTTTGCCTAAATAAGCTCAGCGTGTGTGCGCTTCTCTCTCGCTTCGCCTGACGAAGGAGCAGCGCTGAGAAAGCTTGTGTTTTCAAATAAACCTGTTGGGCTATAACCTGGTGTCGTGTGATTTCTGACCCTCGTCCACCCCAGTCCAACACCGGCACCTTCGCATCACGATCCTTATAATTGGTTTCGGAAATGTTTGAAGAGTTTTGGAAATGTGGATTATCCTTTATAGTTGGTTTTGGGAACTTTTGCGAGGTGGGAGTCCTGAAATTTGGTTTTAGAAATGTTTAAAGGCTTTTAAAATGTGA